CGGGACGGCTGCGGAGAGCAAAACTATCAGCAGGCGCCACCGCGCTGCAGTGCTTCTGCACAGGGCGGGCGGCGAGGAGCCTGCAGCCGGCCCAGGGGGTGAAAAGCAGCTCGTTTTTTCCCGACGGAAGGGCTCGGGGGCCAAGCTCCGGGCAGGCCGGAGAGGGATGCTCCTCTCTGCTGCTGGACTCGCCGGCCCACGCACAAGCCCTGCCCGCGGGTCGGACACGAGCGGGGTGCAGGCAAGGTGCTGGCCGTAACAGCGCGCGAGCCCTGGGCTGGACGGGCCCGGCCCACTTGAAGCCCATCAAGGCCCAGGGATCCGCGCCTCGGGGAGACGCGAGCTGGGCAGCCGTGGAGAAGGTAAGGCGAGAGCAGACCGAAGCCCCCAGGCCGGAGCGGCCGTCTCCCTTTCGAAGGAAGCCTGTCAGGGCTGTGGACCAAGCCGGAGGCTGCAGCACGACGTGGCCTTGGGAAGGGCGAAGATGGTGCTTCCGTGACTAACCTCGGGACGGCGGCTGTGCAGAAAGCGCCGGGAGCGAGGGGTGAGGATCGGGCTCCCCCCTTGCATGACGCGGCGGCAGCACCACCTCGTGGTGGAGACAGATCCCAGCAACGGAAGCGATTTGGGGGCCCGCCCAGCCCTGAGCTGGAGTTTAGGGCCTCCAACCGGCACCAACACCGCCCGGCGTCCCAGACACAAACCCCTGAACCTCGAAACAGGGAGGTTGGGAAACCCGCTGAAGCTCACTCAAGCCACACAGTTAACAAATGAATGAGACTCGTTAGCACCGTCACCACAAGCTGCAGAAGAGACCAAAAGTGGCAAAGAGGAGCTGGAGGGGTTCAGGACAGCAAATTCCAGGCTGGCATCAGGAAGCCTGCGTTGGCCCCCTGCAGGTCTCAGCTGCCACGCGACCAGGCGAGCTCTGCAGCAGGAGCTCCTCACGTTTTCCACTAGCACCAGCAGCTCCAGGCAGGGCATGAGCCAGGAAAGCCATAGCGCTGGAGGGCAGTTCCCTTCTTTCTCCCCACATGCAGCACAGTGCTTGGCCCTTCTTGAGGCACTGGGAGCACCCTCCACCCATAACTCCCCACTCTGTTTGAGGGCGGCTCCAGCCCAACCCAGCAGCCAGCCCTGAGGAAGGGGTAGCTGGACCCACCTTCCAGCAATAAATGTGGTTTCCAGCAGTGACTGCTCAGCACAGGAAAGGCCGCCACTGCTTAGAAAGCAGCTTGACCCCCCCCAAGGCAGAGCGCAAGAGCTGCACTCAGCTGTATTGGGGCAAGAATGGCATGAGCCGTGCTTGACCCCCTCAGGGTTACCCCTCACCGCGCTCAAAAGAAAAGCTCCAGAGCCCCAGAGATTTTTGTCATTGTTTCTCCATTGTTACAACGAACCAGAAATACAAGATTCCATTGAAACCGGAACAGTTCACAGAATGGTGGTAAATTAAAACTTCGGGGGGAGGAGGGGGGAGAACAAACCCGTTCTCAACATCTAAAACCAGCCGCATTCTCAAAAGTGCCCAGGAGGCACTGGAGTCAACCTGGACCGAAAGCTTGGTTTTGGTTACGCTTGTCACTCCAACCAGTTGTGGACCCAGTGTTTCCGAGACGGTTCTACCATGATTTCCTTTCATAGGTGCCGCGCGTGGACCTGCTTCAACATCCTTAATGCACGAACTAGGTCTTCTTCTAGGTTCCGGTATGTAGAAACCAGTAGTGCTGTCCCTTCAGGCATGATAGAAAAGAAATTCAAACTATACCCCAAATGAAAAAAAAAGGAAGAAAAAAAAAGTCAGTCCTCTGTGCTGTCAGTAATAGAATCCCAGCAATCAAATCCATAGCTGGGGAAGAAGGGGGGAGGGAGGGAAGAGTTTTGATACAAAATGAAATCATGACATGTCTAGAGAGCACTACATTCTTAAGCCTGGACTGGACTGGTGTGACAGGCACAGGGGAAGAGGAATTTTGGTACCTTCGGTTGGGTTATTGCAATTAAAAAAAAAAAAAAAAAGACAAAATGGCAAATGTCAAGAAAATTTCCCACTTGAGCCACACTAAAGGATTGACTCTGAACCTGAACAGAACCATCAAGTGGAAGAGGCACGTAACCATAGGATCCCACAGCCCGTGTTCAGCACCAGGGAGCACTTCCCCTAAAAAGCATGCATCACAGCAGACGTGCAGCACTTCCCCCCCCCCCCCCCCCCCCCCCCCCCCCCCCCCCCCCCCCCCCCCCCCCCGCCAAACGAGCACTGAGGAAGTGTGTGCACCAGCGCTGGCTGGTAGGCCGAGCATCCCCAGCACTGGATCCAGTGGATGACTGCAAGTCTGTCACATTCATGTTCAGAGGACTTCGGAAAAGAAATATATATATGTATATAAAAAAAACAAAAAAACCAAAAAACCACAATCCGGAAAAGGTTTCATACAACACAGAGTATCAAAATGTAAAAGGAACACACTAAAATTGGATCTCTCGGTAGGACAGGGCTGCCCCCCCTCCTGCAGCTCCTTCCAGCAGGAATCAGGGTTTCCGTTTTTAGCTTATGGGTATTGACATACACATCAACTTCAACGAGTCTCTCACACGGCCCTTCAGTCGTTGGTCTCTGGATCTGTCTGAGCCATGTATGCATCCAGCTCGGCATCGAGGTGTCCTTTTGTTTTAGACATGTAAGCATCTAATTGGTTGTCCAGTTGTTCCTTGGTTAGCGCAGGGCGCGTGGATCCTCTTCCTCGGCCTCGACCTCTGCCCCGGCCACCAAAGCCCCCTCGTCCCCGGCCTGCCAGGCCACGACCTGAGTGAGACAAGAGCCGTTACATGCTGCATCGCACCTAGAGACGCACATTAAGGATCCCGCTGGTTTAGCTCCTGCGCCTTCAACTTGGCCATGTCCCGGCCTCCTCCTCCCATCAAGCTCTCTGCACTGGTCTATGGGGCATTGTCTCCTGTGCTGCCCCTGGGCTGGGAGTGGCTGCTTCCTTCCTGAGCCAGAAGTACTGTCCTTTCCTCCTTCAAATCCACCCCCACAAAGCCTCTGATAGTCTCCCTGCCAGACTTTCACACTCCTCAGCTGTCACCCTGTGCACCAGGTTTGTCTAAGGCACAGTAACACACTGTCGAATACCACGTCTACCACTCTAAATGCACGCTGCCACATGACTGCACTGCAAAAACTGCAGGCTTGCTATTTGAGCATCTTGCTGATTGTTTAATATAGTGGCGACTGACATGAAGCAGTGGTTTTCCCTTTAAACCAGACATCCAAGGCATCTACTGTTGTGCAAGACCCTGCTATTGCAACATCTAGAAATCCAGACTTAGTGAGATCTGCAACAAGAGCCGTTCGAACAGAGCCAACAGGTAATACAGATTTCTGTATGGCTATCAGACCAACTGACCAGTACGAAGGATAGTCTGATTTGAGACAGAAGCCTAGAACTTGTCTACAGGAAACCAACCAGCAGTAGTTACAGCACGGTAATGGTATCGCTGTAGTTCAGCTAGTTGGCTTTCACAGCACTGACTAGTTACATCAACCATGAGAGAACCACGTTGGTTTTTGCAGCGAGATGTGACAAAGGATTGCAATCAGCTGTGGCCTAGCCTAGGTCACCCCACCCAGTGCACATCCAGTTTCAGCATTAGAACCCAGAGGGACTAGGCAAGTAAGTACATTCATGTCCCAAAGTTAATTTACAAAGCAAGGAAGTTCAAGTTCTTGCACGGTATAGCACCAAGTAACAAGGCCAGCCACAGACATCCAAAGTCCCACTGACTGATTCTTGCTTGAATCATGACTAGAGTTTCACTTTCAGTGACATTCCATGAGTCACATCCTATATTTGCTCCAGCACCAGTCTCTCTCATTTGGGGACCTCCCTAATGTAGTACTTCGCACTGTGAAGAGCACCTAGTATTTAAAAGTCAGATTCAGTTTCCAAGGGGGGGGGGGCACACGAGAGAAAAAGAATCCAGGTAAGCAGAAACTTAAGAAACTTATTAGTTGGGTGTAGGACTAAAGCCTCCCATTTATGAAGTTTTTAGCCTCTTATTTAAAACACAGATGTTTTAGCACTTATAGTTACAAAGGTTACATTTCCTTCATGCTCTGGAAAGCTGGCAGATATAGGAGAGCTTTTTCCAGATCATGTAGATAAACTACTGCAGCTGGGATGATGTTGTTGGGGCTGGACCTGCTTTGAACAGGGGGTTGGACTAGAAGTGACCTCCCAAGGTCCCTTCCAACCCTCATTATCTATGATTCTACTCCAATATGATTGCCACTACTTGAAGCATTACCCAACAGGCAGCATGACACTAATGAGGCCCTGGTCTAATTCACCGCCGCTTTTCAGAACCCTGCAGGCAACAATGAAACTGTCATGGATCTTATCAGCATCAACACTGCTACTATTAACATGTCAGCAAATGGAAATGCGATGCATGTAATATGAGGCTGCACGCTGGGTACAAAGGGAATTCTAGTTTGCAGTTGCATATGCATATTATAATTTAACCCAGATTAAAACAAAAAGATGCTCCATCTTGTTTTACCCCTCATCCCTTCCAAAATGACATGCACTCACCTCTGCCACCAATTCCTCCACGACCCATAGCTCCTCTGCCCAGGCCTCCTCTCCCAGGTCCACCACGACCTCTGACGCCACCTCTTCTCAGGCCCATTCTAGGGGAAACACCACGTCCTCCCCGAAGTAAACTCCCACCTTTGATGCAGCAAGAGGATGATAAAAAGAAAGCATGAGTAGGCAGAAAGGCATCAAAACTCAGCAAAGCTTTGCTTAGCTGTCAGGATTATTCCCCACCCCAGACCCCACAATGCCCATGGGTGCTTTTGTTTGCTGTCAAACATCTAAAGTGGATGCCTGGACTCATGGAGTGCACTGACCTCTGAGGGGGATGCCTCCTCTCAGCAATCCTCTTGCTCCACGTCCGCCACGCATAGCTCCCCGCGGCAAGCCTCTCTGACCCATAGACAGCCCTCTTCCTCCCATGGCACCGCGAGCGAGGGGTCCTGCTGGCCGGCCTAATCGTGCTTGAATATTACTTTTACCCAGACGCTGCTTTAAGCTCTTCTAGAATGGAAGGATTTTTAAAAGAAAAAAAAAAAGAAAGAAAGAAAGAAAAAAAAGAGACAAAAGTCATGTAGCTATCAGGGATTAAGGCAACTGGTGTAAATGGAAAAGAACCTCCAAAAGCACAGGAGGAACAATCTTCTGAAGGGCTACAAATCCACTGCGTGTGTTCAGCTCCTAGAGAAAGAAAGTTCTTGCCAGGGAGAGAGAGCGCTCGCAAAGCACAGAGCACTGTAAACTACCTGCTGACAACAGAGGCGAACAGATTCAAAGTTGGGAGTTCCAAGGGCAAGATGTACCTTCATTCTGCAGACATTCCCACTGCGGCTGCAAGCAAAGCCAATGCTTCATCACTTAGATGAGCTGCTGCGTTCCACGTGGGGCAGGGGCTTAATACCAGCAAGGAGCCCCACGGGTGCTTTGAGACACAGAGTTGCTTTGGCAGCAGAAAAAGCCGGGCTCTACAAGCACATGAGACTTGTACAGCTGCATTCTAGTAGTCAGACACTCGAGAGTTTCTGTTCCAGCGATCTCAGTGCAACAAGCCTATTGTGCACCTGCATCTCAGGCACGAAACAAGGTTGTGGGTTCTTACGTAACTAAGATTCTGCCCTCACCACCACACCCACTTAGGAGGCAGAAGAGGCAAGAAACAAAGACCGCTACAAAGACTGTTCCTTCACTCTGAATGCAACATGAGTCCAAGGAATGCGTGGACTAAGATTATATTGGACATCTAAATCCATTTCAGCCTTACTTCTGCTGTTCGTTTGCATCTGACCCTGTCCCGGGTTCTGCGTGTTTGGAAAAATATGTTAACAAATGCAAGGCCTGCATGGCTGAATGCCTCTGGGCAGCTGTCACAGCAGTCTAATCCCACATCAGCTGATGACAGAGAAAGTACACTGGTGTCTTCAGTTACAGGAACAAGTTTTTCCCATTTCATTGTTTTAGCCAGAATAATAGCCATTAGATAAGAACTGCACGGGATGTGTGCACCTTCGCACAGCCTGCACTTCCCCACTGCTCTCACTGGGACAGGGCTCTGCAACAGCACAAAGCTTCTTGCTTGGGGGAGCCTGGGGGTGGGAGCATGCAATAGGGCCACACTTGTTCTGAGCAAAGAGGACTTGACAGTTCATAGCTATGACGATGTGGCTTCTCTAACAGTTCAACAGTGCACACAGGACAATCCCCGCAAGATGGAATCCTACGATACCAAGATCCCCTTTGTGGAACTTCTCCTGGGACCACCCAGCCAGGTTGTACCAAGACTATGGAAGTTCCCTCTAAGATTTGTTCTTGGCTGGCCTGAAGAAATAGTGAAATTACCAAGCTGTTCATGGTTCCGGGGGGCATCCTGGCCAGGACATTCAACACAGGCAGAGCCCAGCCAAGCTCCTCTGAATGCCAGATACCTGAACTTTCTGAGTCAGAGTGGGTGATAACCTCTGAGCAGCAATTCAGCACTATGAGTGTGCTCAAATTTCCCCAGTAGGACAAAAATGCAGCTGTCCTTATCTTTAAGATGAGCTGGGAAGACGACTAGTCTCAGCACGCCAAGCTACCCACCTTCTGGCTGCACCTGCACATTAGATTACATGCATTTGCAGAATGCCTTCTGAGGTACTCAACATGGATTCCGCCCTCAGCCTCCACAGGCTTCGTTGGACTGCCATGTTTTCTGCTGACTGAAACGGAGCTGCATTCTACTGGCTTCTTCCATCAACAGCCTCACCCTACATTTTATGCTCAAACACCTGAGCAAGATTCAGAGCAGCGTTTCATCCTGAAAGCTGATAAGCATACTTGCTGGACTGTAAACAGATGACACTCAATGAGACTGTCTGTTTCCTGTCCCCAATTCAGTCAGTAACAAAGGGAATGTTCAAGGTACCACAGGTGGAAACCCTTATGAGATTATACTCCAAGGCTCTCCTGATGGAGCCTTCAGCTAGCTGCTTGTACAGCTTCTGTTTAGGAGCTCCAGGAATGATCTGGGGTGGTCCTGCTTTGAGCAGGGGGCTGGACTAGATGTGACCTCCTGAGGTCCCTTCCCACCCTTGTTTTCTATGATTTTATGAACATAACCAACACCTGGGTCTGATTTCAGGACAGATGGCTCACAGGCTGTTTCTTATGCAGTTGCTTTTTCATGCAGAAGAATGTAAGCCCTAAACCCCAGCATATGCCCCAGAGAGAGATTCTCGCGACGTGACAGAGCCGCTCAACCACTAACCTTCCAGGGTTTTCTCCTAGTGTGCTAAATGATGCCAGGGATTATATTTAAACTACTGCTCTGGTTGAGTCAGAGAGTGGTGCCATTTAAAGCTAATACACAGCTATGTGGTACCACCCTGCAAGCCCAGGTTTTAATCTACTCTTATACCCTTGCACTGTGTGCGCGTGAATACACACTTCAAGAGGAACTCTCTAAGCCTCCCTTTGCTCTAACACAGAGTCATCACGGGACAACATACACTCACAACCATTAACTAACATAGTTTCTCACCCATCTCAAATGAGGTTACCAGTGCTGCTAAATTTCTTTCTGTGCACTGTGTACTTACTGCTACCCTAGCAAGGCTTCACATCTTGCAAACCCCATCCTTTAAAACAAAGCAGTGGAAAGGTACATTTTAAATGACGTTTTGGGTTAACCAGGTCAAATGTGCTTAAATTTCAGGAACTAAAACAGATCCTCTGTTACTCTGGCATGTCTATTGAGCAACGAACACCACAAAACGTACCTAGCCAACTGCTGGCAACAGGACCTACTGAGGAAAACAAAAGGCAGATACTTAGCATCAAGTGGGTAACCCAGAACTGGAAGCCACACCCTGCAGTACAAGAACATGTAGTTTAAGGAATGAAGGGTTCAGCAGATCCAGAGACCAGCATGAAAATATTTCTGCTGGGGGAGGGCAGGGAATGAAAGCAGGTAAATCCCAGCAGTAGCCCCCTCTTGTCTGGGAAAAGAGAAAAAGACAGCAAGGAGATTTAAACAATACGCAAGGTAAAGGCATGACAGGTAGGCCAGCTTCACTCAGGGGTTTTAGCTAGTGACAAGCTGTGGCAGCATTACTGCTCTTCAGTGGCAGTAGGAGGTTCTAACTTCTCCGCGTGTCCCCCCAAAATTTTCAGTTCTCATTTTCAGGAACACCTTTTGAAATCCATCACGTCCTGAAAAGTCACCAGCTGCTGACAGGTACCACCAACTGTCTGCAGTGGAATATGACCCCCTCTCTCACCTGTTTAAGTTTCAAGGCAGCTTGGACAGAAGGTCTATTCTCCATCTGCTGGGCCAGTCTTCTGTTTCTGGCACTGGCTAGCTGCTGCTGCTGCTGCATGGTTGCCCGAATATTCACCGGCATCGGCTGTTTGTTCTTCAGCATATTAGTAAAGCTTCAAGGTCGAACAAAATGGGTGTTTAAATAAAGTTTTAATAAAAACAATTATTGGCATTTCATGGCTCTCAAGACTGGATCGCCAGATCCCATGACCTTAAGTAAGAAGTGGTACACTCAGATCACGTCATATGCGAGTTACGTATCCTTGTTTTCCATAAACGTGCAAGAATCGGAAACTTAGATATGGATAAAGTGTAGCACATTAATTTAAAAGTGATAAAGTTACTGCTTTTAAAGGTGGAAGAAGGTATGAAAAAAAACAAGCAACAAGCAGTGATGACCATGACAGATGGGAGAAGACATTATAAAGAAACAGCAAAGCCCACTAAAGTCTGACTGCAAAGCCAAGACAACTGGTTTGGGGGAGGAGGGAGGAAGAAGGGGAGAAAACTGACTTGTTTAACTGGACGTCTCTCGTAAGTAGAGTTGGTGCTGTCACCTTGACACCAGAAAAGCAAACCTTGGGGACAACGCTTTTAAGGATGCCAGATGCCGCTATCTGAATATATTAGTTTATAGTAGGATTGCTTTTGCATTCAGGATATTCTCTGGCATATTAAGGATCTTCCACCTTTAAAAATTATACAGAAGGGTACATACTGCCAGGAATTAAGCTTCCTTATCAGTATGAGATCAGGTTTCTATGGTGTTCAGAGAGCTCTACAAGATGATGAAGTTAAAACTTTACAGAATTATGGATATGGACTAGCCCAGCCACCACAGGCAGGCAGGCATAGCGCGAACTTCCTGGCTAGTCAGCCCCAAGCACTGGCCCAGATTACGTCTCACGCAGTGCTCGCTAGAACAGGAGCTGCATAAAAATGACTTCATTTCTCCTTGGCTTAATGATATTAACACTTAATCCAAGAGTGATTTAGTAAGGAAGTGAAATGTGATTGGGAGCTTCGCTGTTAGTTCATCATATTATATTATATTGGCAAAAGCTTCATGGCAGACAGAGAGAGAGAGAGAGAGCGCAGCAGAGTATTTAACAGAGGAAATAAGAAAGCAGAGCCAAGAAATGAGAGAGATGGAGATGAAGCGAAGCGTTTGCCTCTTACAAGGTCCAAGAACATTGTTAAAGGGCCTTTGGGCTGGTTTTGTGGCCTGCTGCATGCCTCTTACAGGCGACACCACACGCGTGTCCACCTCGGACAAAGCAGCAAGCCTCCTGCAGCTCCGGTAACATGCTACCATGCTGCAGCGTCAACTATATAATGTAAAAACATGTGGAAGAAAAAGGGAGTGTGCGAGGTTTCTTTGTACAACACAGCCCACCATAGTTATGTCTCAAATTATTAACAGTTACTGACACAAGCCTCCGAAATAACTGCCCTTTTAACCTCGTGTACCACATGTGTCGAGACTTAAGACAGAGGTGCATAGCCATTACTTGGTTTTAGTTAGGTTAAAACAGGGCAGAAACCACGCTGGTTTTTGACACTGGACACAGTGACAAATTAAGTACAAATTTCTTATGAGCTGAAGTTGCTGTTGGCTTCCTCACCGCTCGTTCAGAGACATCTTGGTGGTGCTCTTTAGCACAACCTTCGGCGCCGACTGCGCAGCCATCTTCGGGGTGAGAGAATCTGGAAAGCAACGAGAGGCAGATTTAGCAGCAAGACGCAAGACCACGCGCTTGTTTTGCTACGTACCCCGCCGCACAGCCACAGCCCCTTTTGCGGAGACAGCCATGAGCCCAAGAAGGGCTGGCACGAGGACGTGACAAAAACCACCCGAGCGACTCGCGCTTCGCAATGCTGGAAACGCGCGTCGCCTCCTCTCTCAACACGTGGCCTTACTCCCCGTAACGGATGGAGAGACTCACGAAGCAGCCGATTAGCGGCACGTTTCGGCACCAGCCAAGATCGTGCTCACACACCTGACTAACCACCGAACCCCACGGGCACGCGGCAGTGCCTGGATGGACGGCTGCGTCCAGGCACCGCTCCTCCATCTTTACGGGGCCGGAGGAGCCCAACGCGCCCTGTGCCGCATTTCCCCTACTTGGAGACGATCCGTCTCCTAAGGCGGCTGCGGCCTGACCCGAGGTCAACTCCCACACCGGCACGTCGTGAAGACGTGCGCAGCTCAGGGATTGCCGAGTCCGCCAGGTCCGAGGCAGATGGCACCTCCCAGGAGGCTCCTAAACCCGCCCGGCTGCCCCGATGGGGATCACGGCATTTACCGCTCAGACGACTGCAGGCCTCAGGAAGCCGCCGTCCGGCCCCGGGCAGGGAAGCCGGCTGCGGTCGGTGATAATCTGCAGACTCGGCTTCCCGCGGAGCCAACCCCTCCCCCTCCAGGCGCTCGGGCCCAGCCCGCCATGGCGGGGAAGGGGGCGCCGCCCACACCCGCGCCCCCCCGGGCG